TATAGCCATACAGGCATCTCAGGTTTTGAAAATCCTCCATCCCTGATTGCTGACAATCTGAAGAACAGAGGAGGAGAGAGCGGTGCGTTGGGCTGCAGTGTTTCATAAAAAAAAAAGAAAAACTTGTCTGTCCAGCTGAGATAAGGTTACATAAGGCTGCCTCTCAAATACTTCCACAGACTCACAATCTGTTTCACTCTCACCTGTGACTCCTCCGCATCTTTTAGTAAATATTAAACTACGAAGCTTGGGCTAGTGGTTACACAGAAAAAAAAAAAAGTTCAGTTTCTAGTGCAGGTGCATTCATTTACAGCCAGTTAATAAAAGTTACCCAACAAATCAGAATTCATGATATCAATTAAAGACTAAATCATCACTTAAAAGTTGGTCGTGATTAACTTGCATCAGCCTAAATTCGCCACTAGAGGGCGGTAGCAGCACATCTGTAAACATCCACAAGTTTCGTTGTATTTTTTTTGTCTTCCAAACTATTGAAATGCACAACTTTGGTAATCTTTTTTTTTTCTTTTTGCATTGTACAGGACGGCTTTACAGAGAGCTGCCAAGCAGAAAGAGAAAGCGGCCAGTTTTAATTAACTTACACCAAAGTGTGCGACTGGACCGGACGAGTGAAGCATTCAGATCATTTGCTGCTACAAGGAGGAATACCGCAACACATGCTGCTGGCTGGCTGCATCTGTGGGATGTTTTATGTTAATTTATCATCTTTAAAATCTTAATGTGTGAAGTAATCAGTGGTGGAAGAAAAGTAAAAGTTCCAACGCAGTAATAGAAAGTTACTTCACTTTAAAGATTTTTAAAAATCCCAAAAACGTGCAAAAACACAGGTTTAATCTTGAATAATGTGTTGAATTTTCAAAGCTTCTTACATAGAAAGTCCTACTCCTAAAAGAAACTCAAATCGTCAGTGTAGTTAAGTTGAAAGCACCAAATTTGCCTCTGTACTTTAGCCGAGTGGATGTCTGTCAAGGGGCTGCAAGGTGGCTCGGTGGTTAGCACGGTTACCTCACAGCAAGAAGGTCGCCGGTTCTCATCCTGGTGAGGACACCCAGGATCTTTCTGCGTGGAGTTCGCTTGTATCCCCGTACAGGGTGGGTTCCCTCCGGGTTCTCCGGCTTCCTCCCACACAGTCCAAAAAGGTTAACTGATAAGTAGGTGTGAATGTGAGTGTGCTTGGTTGTCTGTCTCTAAGTGTAGCCCTGTGATAGACTGGTTACCTGTCCAGGTGAACCTGCCTTCACCCTGAGTCAGCTGGGATAGACTCCAGCCCCCCACGACCCTGGTGAGGATTAAGCGGTGTATAGATAGTGGATGGATATTACATAGAGAGTCCTACTCCTAAAAGTAACTCAAATCATCAGTGTAGTTAAGTTGAAAGCACCAAATTTGCCTCTGTAGTTTAGCTGAGTGGATGTCTGTCGAAAGGAAAGTGCTGAACTTGAGTCACATACAGGATGTGTAGCAAAAGGTCGGGAGGTAATATTCTTGATCAGTGTCAGGAATTGAAAATAGTCCATTTTAGTAAGGCACAAATACCTGAAGTGCCACACTGGAGTTAATGTGCTGAGTTACACCAAAGTTTATTCAATCTGACTCAAAGTGGAGAAAACTATTCAGAAATCATCCAAAGAAAACTGTTCCCTTAATAAAGCCGATACTTTACCGCTGATCTTCTGTTTTCAGACCTGAGACCGTGATCCTCTTCATAAGCCTGAACACACCAGGTGGGGTTCGGCAGCCACATGCCAGGTAGGCGGCTGGTGGAGAGAACGCTGTCACTCATTAACACACTAGTGAAGGTTATTGTTCCCTTTCTTTTGATCTTGTCCCCTTGAATTGGTTTTTTTTCACTTCTTGCGGCTTTTTTGGGGGTTTCCGGGGTTTTCTTGGAAAACCAGGGAGGTTCCAGTTTTTTTAGGGTTTTTTTTTTTTTTTAATCAACCCACCTCTAAATCGTATTAAAATCAACGTCAGGCCGGAGGGTTCTAATTAGCTCATAAGACTCATCTCGACGTGAAATCTGCTAAAATGAGGTTTTATCTCTCATTCAGGGTTACTTGTGTGGAATAATCCAGAGCGAGCGGCTGTTTGTTCAACTCCGAACGCGGCTCTTTCGGTAAATATTCTCGGGCCGACTTCAAGGTCAGGTTTCAATGAGCGTCGTGCCTGTTTTGGAAGTCGAATGTGAATAAATTCGTAAATATTAAAAAACAAAAAATGCAGTTTGGAAATGAGGCAGCCTGCAGTGACAGACTCGTAGAGATGAAACAAAAGAGAAAAAAAAACACAGCTAAGCCGTGGTTAAAGTTACCAGCTTTCTCTTTTATTGAAAAATATAGCTGTTATTTCAAAGAGAGGAAAGTGAAGGAGGTAAATATATTAATATACTGTAAAACCAGAATAAGGAAGAAGGGGGAAGAAAACAGTACATACTTGGCATAACACTACAGCCACTGAATAGAAAAAAAAAGAGAGAGAAAACATTCTACAGCTGAACTTTGAGCCAGTTGTTCTGTGTTTTTTTCCGCAGTCCTTATCTTTTTTTGCCACTCACCAAACCACAGCTGTCAGGGAAAACTTTTAAGCAGACCTGGGGCAGAAGACAGCAAATTCCTTTACATGGTTTATTCTGGCCTACTTAGGAGTTTCCCACAGAGAAACACAACAAACGCCAGAGAGTTAAGACAATTACAAGAAAGTATTTCAGCGTCATTTAGTACACTTTTCCATAATTCTCTATTTACGTCTCCTAAACGTCTAAACTGCGCCAATCCCAGTTGGCAGGTCGGCGGGAACATGTGAACACTCGCAAATTTCGACCACAAAACGTTTGGAGCTTCCCTCCGGCTCCCACGCTGGAGGCGTGCAGTCGCGCCGCCGATAACGAGGACTGTTTGCGGTAATCGTCAATGGCACTAACGATATTTACACTGCTTGATTAAAACAACAGCTGATAAGGAGTGTTTCTGTGAGAGGGGAGTGTCCGACGACGTCTTCAAATTTGGCCCATATACACATGAAAACATGAAACTGGTGAAGTAGAAAACATCCTGACAACCCGGTGAGACGGTCAACACCTACTTGGCAATTTCCCTCCTTTAAAAATGTCAGAACTTCCCGTTTATGTAGAATAAAAACAACAACCATTCCAACAAGCCGAGGCAGAAGCACAGCATCCTGACTCCAACGCCTTCCCATACATCCAACGTGGCAATTAGTTTTTATAACACCAAATAATAGTGAGAATACATTAATCATAGACACAGGAAAGGAAAGTACACCTGTTTTTTTTTTTTTTTTGCACCTGTACGGCAAAGCCAGCTAAACACAACAACAGCCCACCTGTCTGTTCTTGACCCTGCTGTTCCTGGAGCACTTCCAGCTGGCTGGGGGCCAGTAATCTAACACGTTTAATGAGTAGACTGGGGAAAGGCCATACGATTGGTTGATTTAATCATCCGTTCCTACTATGTGATTTGGGGTTGCGTAGAGGGGAAGTGAATATTATCACCTTTGGGGCCAGTTCGGGAAATATTCCATTCCTCAGTTCTCCGAGACATACCTGATGCCCGTCTATTAAGTAGCGGAGCTCTAATAACACCTTGTACATCCGGTCTCCGCCCTCGGGGACGAGCCTGGACGCACGAGGAGACGCGTTATGGACACACTTCCTCTAAACTCTTCTTCCGTCCTTCCACCCGACCTGCTAGTCCCACCCACCGACCTCGACGGTGATGAAGAACACAAACATATTTCACCACAATTGTCGCCTCTGTCTTACAAGACACAGAACACGTACATTTCACATTGTTTTTCAGATTAAAAAAAAAAAAGAAGACAATTTTGTAAAACAGAAAGCAGGAATGATGTGGCTTAAGATTGAACAGTCTGCTTCAGCAACAAGTGATTGCAGATATATTCGCACAGGTGAGTAAACAGGAGGATGTCGCTTGGATGGCGTTCGATTAGTCTCAGAACATCGTAAAAAAAAACAGACAGCATCCACGAGCAGAAAACCATCCTAGTGTGGTCCAACAAGCTTCAACTCTGCGCTTGACCAGCTGACTCTGAGGCGTTGGAGGCAGGACAGCGGCTGATGCCTCCGCTCCTTTGATAGTCTTCGGTCTTTTACTCCGACAAGAAGCACTCATACCTTGTATTCAAAATACCAGCACCGCCGTGTAGAAACACTCTGCTATGTATAAAAGTCCTGCACTCGCACTTTTACTCGAATAAAAATACAGAAGCATTTGCATGAAAATATACTCCAAGAAAACTAGTTCTTATGCAGCCCATGTTAGAATAATGTGTATTATTGGTAGAGCTGGACCCGAATAGCTGACTATTCAAGCGATGTGCTGGAATCGGGATATCAATTTTGATCTCTGAATATTGCCCCCACGTTGGAACCAATACCCAGCTGCCACCTCCGTGCAGCACCCGTAAATATTCGGGATATTCGTCATTAATTGGGGCCGAATATCCGGACCAGCCCTGATTACTGGATCGTTGAAGCATTAATGTGTTCATCACATTATCGATGCAGCTGCTACATGTAAAGCTCATGTTAATGCCTGTATTTATTGCTGGGTAGTTTAGTTATCAATAAAGTTTTATTGCAATACAATAATACGGCATCATGCTGGGCTACACAACTATATTACAGCTGCTGATTATATTTTGTATTATTAATCTGAATATGCAAAATAACAAGTAAACAAAAAATAAATGTAAATATATTTATTAGTGTGAGTTACTTTGGACTACTGATCTATAAGCCACCTAGCATCTGTCATGCTGTCAGTCAGTCCCGACACTCTCTACATCGCTCTATTTTATAAACAGTAGAAAACTACATATTTCAAGATTTACAAGTTAGAATTTTTACCGAACTCGCTGAACAACACGAGATAGAAAAACCAGAAAAATGGAGTCAGCGTTCAACGTTATTTGGTTTGTCAGTCAGTAGCTGCACGAAACAATCCACTCATGAACGGAAACATCAGCTGGTGTCCAAGCCTCTCAAGTCACCAAAGGGAACCTGACCACAAGTGCTGAGCAGTTGTGAACTTGCTGGTTCTCCACATCGTGCACCGTCAAAGGAGAAGTGCTCCCTCGTGGACGCTGTGCTTATATCATGTGCTTATAGGACAAACGAGTGTTGATAACGTGATCAAGGCACACATGCACTTTTAGGTGTAGTTATCGAATGTGATTTCTGATTTGATGTTGCTTCTCAGCACCTATCGGTCGGACAGCAAAAACAGCTTAATTGTCAGGTGGTCGCTTCCCCGTTTTGTGAAAGACAAACCAGAGAAACAAGAATGTGCACGATATGCTATTAGTGTTTGAATTGCGATTTACAGGTTATTTATTTACTGAGTTGAATTCTCAAAGAAACAGAAATAAAATTTTAAAAAATCCCATCTCTGACACAAAATAAGAAGTTGATAGAATGAGCCAATCACCAAACTCCTCCAATTTCATGTTTACTTGAGTCTAATACTTAAGTGCAATTTGGCCAACCTGTACGCTCAGAGGATTCACTCTGTAGTACCATTAGAACATAAGAAATGAAAGATAATATATATATATGTATATATAAAACAAAAAAATCCCAAATCAAACTTTTAAGACCAAGCAGTGCACATTAAGAACAATCCATCCCTTATGAAAATGAATAAATAAACATCACTGCTGCCTGTGAATTTAAAGAACGCCCAAAAGAGACAGATTCAAAAATAATAATAAACTACCCAGCTCAAATACAACCTCCTACTGTGGACCAGATATTGTACATACAATGGAGTAAAAAAAAAAAGAAGAAGCATAAATCGCCACTTAAACTCAGACATGATCAAAAGTATGACCTACTTTATCTGCTTAGTGTCTATATCACAACTAGGCTCTGTGGTCGCTCCCACTGACTGGAGTGTCACAGCTATCCGAGCTTCACTTCTTGTCCTTTCCTTCATCCTTTCTCAGAATCTGCACTGCACATCCACATGATTCAATCTCTAATCCCACTGCTGCCTTTACTACTTCTTAAAATGAGAGTAATGATCGTAGATAATGGTGGGGGTGGGCGATCTGGCCGAAAGACGACACGACTATCTTTTGATCTGAATTCTCCCCGCAGAATTAGCTGAACTCGTGATCACATCGTGGATAGAAAAGCCGTCACTTCAACCGACGGCCTCCATCAGTTCAACTGCATACAGCACCCTTAATGTCTGTAAGCTAAGCAGAACTTAGTCAGGTTTTCTTGTCCATTGTGTAAAGCTCACCGGATCGCCCACCCCTAACTCCTAGTGCGCTGGTTTTACTTCTCAATACGTGGGAGCCAGTAATATTTGAAAGTGTAGAATTTACCAATAATGATGAGCTCAGAGTTTGATGTTGCAAAAACTGCATCAACACACATTTGGAGGGAGCCAGTCTGTCTGCACTCTGCCTTTAGTTCACCGGGCCTCGCTACAGCAGAGTGAAAAAGGCTTAATTGGTTGTTTATGGTGCTGAACAAAGTGTGCAGATATGACATTGATCCACCAGAAGCTTAAACCACATGCGGCCCTGCCTGTAAACCTCCCTCCTGCCTTCCCCTGCTTGTAAAAGCCTCCCGAGAACCTGGCCGTCTCCTTTAGTGTCCTTCGTGGCAGTGATGCCATCTCAGTCTACACCCGGATCTCGTCGTCGTCGTCCTCGTCCATGAAGGTGAAATCTCTGTCGTCCTCCCCGCGTGGCGAGCTGTACTTTGCACTGTCCGTGTCGCCATCGTGGATGTGGTACTGAGGCTTCTCCTCTGTGACGGAGCCAGAGCTGGACACGGAGCAGCTGTCCATGTTGTGGTGGTTGTTCCTGGCGTGTAGCTCCGGGGTGTAGGGATCCACCGCGGCTTTGTGCTGGTACATGCTGCGGGGCGGCCTGGCGGGGGCCCGCTCCTCCGCATCGTCGTCATCTATGTGGGGGATGAGGGAGGGCGACCCGTGGCCCTCGCTGCCTTTGCCTTCCTCGTAGCCGAGGTCGTCGTCCTCCCAGCCCTTCTTCTCCATCACGCTCAGGATGTCCCCGAGCATGGAGGGCCCCAGGTCGATGTGGAAGGACATCATAGACTCTGCGTGCTTCAGCCCGCTTCCTTTGGGCATGGACGGAGGCAAATCTGTAAGCTCGCCGAAATTCCTCTCGTCAAACTCTGCGTCGATCGTTGCCATCGCTGCCGCTCCGTTCGCCGGCTTGCTCTCGATCTCCGTCAGCTTCTTCATGGGGCTCGAGGAAACGCTCTTCGGCAGTTGGTGACCCCTGTGAGCACTCTCGTCGTTTAGGTAAGGCAGGGATATGGCGTTTTTCACAAACTGAGACGAGCCAGCAGAAGGCACCACGTTGTAGTCGTACTTGTCCCCCCGGTTTACCGACTGAGACCGCTTGCTGCTTCTGAAGGTGCGAGACAGGAGTCCTGGTTTGGGACCCGGTGAGCCCTGCTTCGTCTCCGGCTCTTTCGGAGGTTCCCCCGATCGGGTGCTAAGAAACGAAGTGTCCCCAAAGGCGTCGCCCCCTCGGCCCACGTGCATGGTGTGCCGGAAATCCCCCAACGGAGCGCTGATCATCTCTGCGGTCAGGTCAGCCCGAGACCGCCGCTTTGACTGGTTAGAGTTGTTCACCAGCTGCTTGAGAATAGGCATGATGGTAGTTAGGCTCCACGGATAGAAATCAAAACTTGGATGTGTGGGCGTTCAGAGAGTTCCTTCCAAAGTTCTCTGGCGATTCTAAAAGATGTTGTCAAAGCAAGTATAATTCCAGGTGTTTAATGTGTGCAGCCATTCTGGTCCTTCTGCTCAGGTTTCATCTTGCAGTTGAATCGGCCTCTGAAAGAGAAAAATGGAGCGCATTAAAGCAATATCAGTACTTCTATAAATCGAACCGAGCCGCACAATCGTGGAAACATGCAATCAATAACAGACACCGTTTCATTCCGGTGAAAACGTAACATCCCACTTTAAATGCTTCTCTAAAGAGCCGTGTCTATTCACGTCTCATCATCCACTATCAAATAACCGGCTCTGTCCTGATCTCCATCAAGTACGGAAACTTTTGTTGCCAAGGCTTCAAAATGAAGGCTCACTTGAGTGGTTCTACACGAGCAAAAGCTTTTTTTTTTTTAATGCAGAAGTCTGTAAGAGGGGTTATGTAACGGTGAAAACAGCCTTTCTGGTACAAAGTTCACAGCACCTAACTTCAAACCAGAACTATTACCCCCAGTAAAGTTTGCTATGGTAAAGCAAGTTCCCCATTCAGGCACGTTCAGTTCTTCTGATACATTTTTTGGGCTCTTTTCTGGGGGGGAGAAAAAAAAAGTCTCTAATAGGCTTCTGTCACATTCAGTTTTTCATGGGCTGCAGTGTCTGCTATTGCTGCTGTGCTTTAGTTCCCATTTAGGCCCCTGACTGTTACATAACCAGCAAGACACAGGATACTGGGAGCCCAAGCAGTTCAAGCTGGCAGGAATAAAAGAACGAGGGAAAAAAGAAATGAAGTGGGACAGCATTTCTTCAGCACGGATCGACTTACAGCACAGCTCGCCGAGTCCAGCCCGGCTGCATTCTGTTCTCACCCTCCTATCGTCAATAGATGAACTGCTTCCACCACCAGCTCTTTGTGGTTTTATTTTGCCGTTTGTCTCTTTAGCCTGACATTTGAGCACCTCCTACTGAATATTTTGTTCTGTCTCATTAACGCACACATCCACGGGCACCTTCCAGAACATTTTTCTGTGTGATGTGGCGATGCCGAGGTGAGCAGACTGGTCATGTTTTCATACAGGTAAGTTTGATCCTGTGCTGGCACTGATTACCTTTGACTCGCTACGCTGATAATAGCTCGAATCAACACTTGAACAACACAAATGAAACTGTCCTTCAAAAGAGAATTCTGGTTTGCTTCAACCTGCTGAATTCCCCTATTAATGCGGCCACTGCCGCTGCACGGGTCAGGCTAACTTTGCACTCCTTACCTCTTGTTGAGATCCAAAAGAAAGGAGTGATCGTGAATAGCTGGTGAATGGAATTTAGTGAGGCAATTAGTCCGAGGTCTCTGCAGCTTTTCCAAAGAAAGACCATTACTACATGAATCATTTTAAACGTTTTTCAGTCTGGCCAAAGTTAAACGCACAAATTATCCGACTGCAACGGACCTTTTGCTAACTGCATCAGGGATCTCCCTCTGGGGATACTTGCCGGCTGACCTAATCGGCGGCATAGTCATCTGCGCACGCTGTTTTGTTTACATGTGCCCGTTAACGAGAGAAATTCCAGCTGTGAAGATGATGTTTCACCTCCCCGACCAAGACCAACTGGACCAGACGCTCAGGCTCAGAGTAAAAGCTCGTGCAGTCAGAGAAATGTCAGCTTCAGGCGGCTGACTTCTATGTCAACTTTCAGTCAGACTCAAAATATTGAAAATGATTCATGTAAAAATCAGCTTTCTTTAGAACTCGGGCTAATGGCCCCACATTAAAGCAATTTCCCCAATTCTCTATAATGAAGGCAAATAGTGCAAAGTCAGACACTTGGAGCCACATTAGTCACATGAATGGGAAACACGCTGGGCTGAAATAAACCGGAACGCTCCTTTAATTCACCAGCAGCTCAGAACCTTAGAACGGGCAGGATAGAATCAAGTGGAAGAGAGGTTTAAACACCCACTTATGTCCTAACTAGAGTCCGCAAGCTCCATGTGTTACTGACATTAACAAGGGCTTCAATTGTTTTATCCAGACAGTGATACCATCATCGTCAGTGTTTTCAAACTGGAGCTGGAGCCCACGCTCTGGTCCTGTGTGCGTATCCCCCCCCAATGAATGAATGGGAGCTTCACTCAACAATATTCCAAAAGAACGTCACCCATGAAAACATTTGCATCTCTGACAAGAACCCATTCAGCTGGAAAGGCAACTGTAGCACCAGAAGGAACAGAGGGGGGTTTGATGGATGATAAAAGCTAGTGCCGTTCTCTTTTTTGGTTCGCTCCCCCTTTCAAAAGACAGATCATCCCCATAGAGAGCTGAACTCTATCCACTGCCATGGTTTTATCTTCTCTAACAACTTCATTCAAGTTTTCTCCAGTAGTTCCAGCGCTAATAGGGGAGACGTACTCCCCTCAAATAAGGCCGAACAAAGAGCACATGTACTAACAATCATCCTTGGAAAGCTTATTTTCAAGTTCACACCCTTATACGTGACAACTGGAATGAGCTTACAGACTATTTTAACTGGATGCCAAATTATAAGATGACAGCTTTAAGCAAACAAATTCCTCTGAGCAGAGCTACAGTGATGGAACTCATACAGTACGATCTAACATGGGGTAAACCGTGTATAACTCGATGCATTGTGCAGGAGCCAATTAGTATCTGCTGCACAAAAGGCGGCTGAATGTGTGAGCGACCACTGAAGACAACTCATCAAGCAACATGTTCCTCCCCGCTGGCCAAAGTTTTGTATTTCTCTATGGCAACATCAGCGCAGAGCGCCGGCTACCGAGTGGGCTTCCTGTCCCTAAGCCGGCCGGAGACAGAGGAAAAGTGTTTTATCCCCTACATGGAGAGATCAGCTCATTGGGATGGATTAACCCTTCCTGGTGACCACATGCCGGCCGCTGAGACAATCTCCACAGCGCTGCAGCAGAAGGGGAATGCGTTTGATGTGCCATGTCACCAGAAGACATTCAACCTCGCCATAAAAGATGTCAGTGGGTTCTCAAATATCAAAAGGTGCGAAGCTCACACCTTAAGTCATTCTAGGAAATGGTCCATTTTATGTCTCTGGGAGCCCCTCGGTGTTTGATGAGGAGTAGTTCCAGCCCCCCTCCAGGGTCATCAAGACCCGTTATTGTGGGCATGACAAAAGATGAAGTATGACCTGCCTGCAGTCCTGTCATATTCAGTTTTAGCTTTTCAGTACTTTACAAAAGATAAATCACGAAGAATGGCAGTGATACGTGCACTCTCCTGTTTCAGAATAACCTTCCAGACACGACGCTAATGCTCTGCATATAAACCTCTGTGTTAAATGTTCTTTCACATAAAGAAAGACTTCTGTTGTTTTGAAAAATATGTCCACACTATCACCAAAACTACTGTTATTCTGGAAAGAATGGGTCCCCCTGTGTTCATCATAATTCTCATTACTATAAAAAACAATGATCATAGCTGCTCCTTTTCTTTCTTATTTGGAAATTCAGTGGTAGACTGTTGAGGGGACGTTGAATTTTCTGGGCAGATATTATTGCAGAACGGGTGAGTTTGAATATGTTTTTGTAAGGTTTTTAGTTTCCACATGATAATTTAATATCTCAAGCCTTTTTAATGTCTTAGCATTTCACTCCTGTTGTGTTTGTTTTTGTTCCTAAGCTACATACGTTTTCATTTCAACTACCTCCACCCCGACGAGCATTTAATGCCGTTTCGGAAATAATATCCCGACCGACATGCCTGGAAACGCCGATCACATGACCATTCCTGTCCACTGGGCATGTTTGTGCCAGTGTAAACATGAAGCAAAGGGATCCGTCGCTCAGTTGTAGAAAATACTACGGAGGAATTCCTTAGCTGCACAACATCTGCTTGCATAGAGAGCAAGTTCAGTAGAGTTGGTATGTCTGCAGACGGTCCTGGGGGACTAGTGCACAGTGAAACTGGTGAAACGTGGCTTTTCTGCCCTTCACAAAATGTACACAAACCAAGCACGAATGGCGCAGGGGGGAAAAACCCACGAGGAAGTTTATCAGTAAGTGACAGCGTCTGCTTACTTTCTGTTATAGTTATTTATTGCTTGTTTGTCGAGTTGTTTGTATGTTCAGTCTAAAGTCTTCATAGGTTTCACAGATGTTCATGGTTTTCCTGACTTCTGGTGACGTGTACAAACACTAACGGCACAAACAAGGTGGTCAACTGAGCAGTTAAAGGACGAGCGAGTCCAAACACACTTGGAAATGGCAAAGTGATGTTTCCGACAACGTCTGCCGTCACTAATGTGTGTCCTGCTCCTTGCTTTTATACTATTTCTGGCTCTCACGATCTCACACTGAAGCACTCCAGCGGTGAGGTCAGTTACATCTGTGAGGGTTTATATTGGATCACAGGCAAGGCGAGCGTCACAAATCAGTGAACATGTATGATGGTTAAGACCCAATCAGAAAGTGAACATGGGCGTCTGCATCATTATTTTTCAAGTGTCCTCTTCTGCTTGTCCAAATTAAACAGCAAAACTCCATAACACTCTGTTTTAAGGGTCCTAAAACAGCAAAGTAGTATGAACTGTATCATGTATGGTAACACCGGTGTAACGTTAGGGGATGATATGAAATTGCAATATCGCGATAAAATTGGAGTGCATGTGCAGTGCCGTTGTTCTCGTCCGGTCTAATGCACATGGAGCAAGAAGCATGGCGGCGACCGAGGAGGAGGGTGAAGGCAGTGCATCGACCGACACACTAAGGCTGGCCCGTATGGGAATTTTCAGGCGTTGTGGTGGAGTCCGGATAGCAATTTAGAGACCCAAATATTGGCTCTTTAAAAAATAAAATAAAATTGCACCAATAAAGCTGTGCAGTTTACAAGTATTTTGTCTAGTGTCAATTATATCGTCAGTTATATCATAATTTTCTCAAGTATATCATGATAAATATTTTTGCCTGTATCACTCTGTCCTAGTATGAACTTAGGCTGTAAACGTAGCAGAAGTTCTGTGAATACATAAAAACATCAGTGTGTACGCAGCCTGAGACTTGTGCAGAGAAAAGAATATGAACCAGGGGGCAACCAATTGTCAGCCTGACCAGTTATCAGATCAGATGTTCAGCATTTTTC